TTCACTGCTCGCCTGGGTTCGAAAGTGATTTCTAAGCTTTGGATTTCCACAGCCCATTTAATCATTCTTCCGGATGACTCTAAAGTGGTCATAGGCCTTTTGAGCGGCTGATCAGTGTAAACGGTCACCGGATGTGCTAAAAAATACGGTTTCAGCCGCTTGACTGCTTTGAACAAAGCAAGACCGAATTTTTCGATCATGGGATAACGAAGTTCAGCATTCCGGAGTACATGGCTTATAAAGTATACCGGGAGCTGATTACCGTCTCTCTCAGCAAGGAGGACGGCGCTCAAGGAGTGATCCGAGACGGCCAAGTACATGTAGAGAGCCTCCTGGGGTAGGGGACTCACCAATCTTGGCAAAGAATGCAGGTGTTGCTTCAGCCGTTGAAATGCCGCCTCAGCCTCTTCACCCCATTCAAATCGTGACCTCTTTTTGATTGCTTGGAAGAAATACAGGCACTTGTCACCTGACCGGCTGAGGAATCTCCCCAATGCCGCCAGGAAACCGGTAAGCTTTTGAGCCTCCCTGACGGTACGTGGCGACTGCATGTCAATCACCGCCTGTACTTTGTCCGGATTGGCCTCTATGCCCCTCTGATCAATCAAAAATCCAAGAAACTTCCCGGACTCAACTCCAAAGACGCATTTTTTTGGATTTAACATGACTTTATGCCGTCTGAGGGTGGTGAGAGTTTCTCGGAGGTCGGCTAGATGATTCGCCTGCAGCTTTGATTTGACAATCATATCATCAATGTACACCTCCACGTTCCTTCCAATCTGATCATAAAAGACCGAGTTCATCATTCGCTGGAAAGTAGCAGGCGCATTCTTCAACCCAAACGGCATCACCGTGTAGCAATATAGCCCTTGATCTGTGACGAAAGCCGTCTTCTCTTGGTCTTTCTTCCACAAGGGTATCTGATGGAAGCCGGAATAGGCGTCCATGAAACTCATCAGGGCATGGCCGGCTGTAGAGTCTACCAAATGATCTATCTTTGGAAGCGGGTAGCTATCCTTTGGACAAGCCCTGTTGAGGTCCGTGTAATCTACACACATCCGCCAGGTTCCATTCGGCTTTTTCACAAGGACGACATTGGCTACCCAATCCGGGTAGTAACATTGCCGGATGAATCCAGCATCCAAGAGTTTCTTGACCTCGGTTGCTGCCGCCTGGGACCTTTCCTCGCCATGGTTCCGTTTCTTTTGCCTGACCGGCTTCTTCTTAGGATCCACAGCGAGTCTATGTACAGCAAGATCCGGACTTACACCCGGCATCTCTTCTACTTCAAAGGCAAACACATCTTTGAACTCCTTCAGCAAAAGGAGCAAATCTGATCCCAAACTTTCAAACGCAGCCGTTCCAACCTTGACGGTTCTGTCTGGCCGGCTGTCTTCAAGGACAACATCAATTATTTCTCCAGCCGGCTGAGGGCGAAGGACGTTTGTCCTCTCCCCGGACAGTGATTGCTATTATTTCTCCTTCACAGGCGCCAGTTGGTCCGCCTTCCTCTTTTTACCGGCTGGCTTTGTAGCCGGTAAGCTTTGATCACAGTCGTCAAGTTCAACAATTTCTTTCTCTTGACCGCCTGTGTCAAGCGTTGGTTTGATGTCCGAGAGGTAACACTCTCTCGCCATCTTTTGGTCCCCACTCAAGGAACCGACTGTGCCATCATCCCTTTCAAACTTTATCAACATTAGAGATGGGATGATGACTGCCTTTGAGAGGTTAAGGGTTGGACGGCCAATAATCAGATTGTAGGCAGTCAGCTCTTCTACAACAAGAAACTTGACAACCATATGCCGGCCCTTACCCTTCTCTCCGAACCGGATGGGTAGATCAATCATTCCCACCGGATGTACTACTCCTCCCCCAAAACCTACAAGAGGGTATGAGGCCGGAAGCATGCTACTGGGCTTATACTTGAGTTTCTCCAAGCACCGGTAGCTGATGAGGTCGGATGAGCTCCCGGTATCAATCAAGATCCGGCCAACTCTTTGATTGGCGATTTTGCACTCGATGACTATGGGGTCATCATGAGGCCGCCTGACCTCGCCCCTATCTCTCTCGGAGATGTTAACTTCCGGAAATGAATATTCAGACGACTGGCCCTCATCCACTGAGTTGACCAGTTTCCGAATGTTGTCTTTTGTGCCCCGGATGGTAGGCCCACCTCCCGCAAATCCACCGGCTATGGTCAGGATGGTTTCCTCATCCGTATCCGATTGAGTAGCCGTCTTCTTTGGGGGTGGTCCTCTTGCTTGTTTAGGAGTACCCCTTGACTTGGAAAGATAAGATTTGAGAGCCCCCTCATCAGCGAGCCGGTCGAAGAGCCGCCTGAGGCTAAAGCAACCCTCAGTGTCGTGGCCAATTTCCTCGTGAAAAAGACAATATTTGCTCTTATCCCGGGCGCTTAGAGGACTCTTCATAGGAGACGGTTTTTCAAGATTCAACCGGTCCTTTACTTCGTTGAGAATGGAGGCACAGTCCTTGTTGAACTCGTACTTTGGCACATACGGATCCGACCTCTTCCTTTTCTGGAAAGGTTGTCCGGATGAGTCTGCCGCCCATACCCCCTTTCTCTTGTCTTCCTTTTTGGCCGACTGGGTAGGCCGATTCTCTTTTTTATCGGATCTTTTGTAATCCGTTGGAAGTTTAACAGCACACAATTCCACTGCCTGAATGTAGGCCTCCGCCTTCATGAGTGCCTCGTGAAGAGTGGAGACCCTCTTCCTAACCAAGTCAAACTTAAAAGTTGATCCATCTTTTAAGCCTTTGAAGAAATCAGTATAGGCAACGTCATCAGACAATCCATGGATTTGGATCCTCATCAGGTTAAACCGCCTGACATATGACCGGAGCCCCTCTTTGTCTCCCTGTTGTATTGCCCCTAGATCAAGGCTTGTTTTCTTGGCAGGGATGTTCATAGAAAAGTTGGACGTAAACCAGTAGGCCAAGGTCCTGAAATTATTGATGCATCCGGCTGGGAGGTTACCAAACCAACGTTGAGCAATCCCTTTCAACTTAGCCGGGAAGCACCGGCACCATGCGGCGTCATCCAAACCCTGCAAATACATCAGGTTGGTGTATGTCATAAGGTGATCTTCCGGGTTGGTGGTACCGTCATAGGCGCCTACCAACACGTTTTTGATTTTAGACGGCTGGGTCATCTCGGTGATTTCTCTGGAGAACGCCGTTGGCTGTTCCCCAAGGTTGAGCAGCCGGAGCTGCCAGTCCATAGGCTGGACGGGCGGCTGATGCTGCCCCCCGAAAATACCTGCCTGTGCATAGGGGGATCCAAAGGGCGTATACGGTGTTCCATGCACTGCCGGTTGGATCATATGGGGGCCGGATCGAGCGGAAACCTCGCTCGTCCGGCTGTCATTGTTTGTTCTCGAGTGCCTTCCTGAGGTGGCATTGAAGCTGTCTCGAAAGGTCGATGTTGATGCCGACTCGGATCGCTGAGTCTTTTTATCTTGGATGAGCGTCCGGGCATCAGAATAGACTTTCTTGGTTCCATCCGGCTGAATGTGCCGGACGGGCTTTCTGACTCCATCTATAGGAGTGTGCATCTTTGAGAAATCAAAGAGCCTAGCTGGCATGTTTGACTTCGGATGTGGGGTAGATGCTCTACCCTTTACTGTTTTGGCTGTCTTTTTACCGTGACGCCTTTCTTCCGCCTGACCCTTACGGGGGCCGGCTGTGTAGTCCAGAAGGCCTTTGATCTCTCCTTTGAAGCTCATCATCATATTCATGAGCTCATCTCTGGAGACTGGGGAGTCTCCAGCGGTAGAGGTTAACCCAAGCGGCCCCCTAGTTGGCTTGCTAGGAGCCGCCTGGTTCCCTTCCCGTTCTCTCTTATCTTTGGAACGGGTGTTCTTGGTCCTCAAAGAGCCATCCGCAGCAGTGTAGGCTTCCAAGTCATAGTTATCGGCTGTATCTTGGTCCGAATGGACCTCAACCTCCTCAGTAGGCAGATTGCCTTTACCAGGTAGTATAGGCTCAGATGTCATCTAGAAAGTACTCTCCCCACAGACGGCGCCAGATGTTTGGGGGTATTTTATGTCCTTCGGGAGAGTTACAATTTCCTAGCAGACTTCCTTCTTACGCCTGTACCTGCACCTAGCAGACTTCCTTCTTACGCCTGTACCTGCACAAGTAACGGAGACTCCGGATGGGGGTGGGAGTTCCGCCTCCGAAGATTAAGTTAGTATCTTTTCGAAGTGGAATAAGAACAATAAAAGCTTCTCGGTTCGAGAGCGTTTCAGTAGGTTTGGGCTTTGTTTGTTTTTGTGTGGTTGCAATTAATGTATGTGTGTCATAAATGAGGTCTACCCTTACTATTTATAGTAAGGGAGAACTGTACCTCAATTAGGGTATAAGGGACACGTGTCTGCAAAGGGATTGGGCCTTTGCAGACCGTTGAAAGATTGACACGTGTCAAGCCTTTATTGGGCCACGTGTCTTAGGGTATTTTCACCCTAAACACGGGTGTACTCATTGGTCCACATACGTCTGTATGTATTAGACCCAATAAGTCACTTGCCCTTTCTCCCAACTTGGAGAATGGCTGCTTTATCATCTTGCCTAATAGACATCCTTCGCAATTTTCAAATGACTCCAAGTCGAATGAGTCAAGAACACCTTCTCACTAGACAAAAAAAGGTAATTTGACACCGGTTCAAACCCCCCTTAAGGCGCCGGTTTTGAACCGTTGGGGATTTGAGGGATGCCAAATCCTCAAAAATTTGGCACCGGTTCAAAACCGGTGCCAACTAAAGGCTTTGGCACCGGTTATCCGGTGCCAACTTCAAAGGCGCGAATTTTTTTCTTTTATCATCAACACTATTGGCACCGGTTTTAAGCAAGAACCGGTGCAAAAAACCCCACTTTAGGCACCGGTTCTGGTCCAAACCGGTGCCAGAAATACCCCAAAAAAATATTTTTTTTTTTTTTTTTTTGCATTTTTTCACTTAAATTGATATAGAAATATTAACATATATATAAAGTTACATATTTTCATTAAAAAAGGCTGTAATATTACAATTTTCGTCCAAAAAATATTAAATAATATTACAACCTCGCAGCCCACCAAAACAGCAACACCAAACCACACCACTACTGTACAGCACCCAAACCAGCAGCCCAACCAGTGCAGAGCAGGCACCAGTAAGTCCCTGAAGAACAGCAGTCAGACAGCACCAGCTGAGTAGAAAGCTTCAAGGATCAGCCCATGAAACCTAGCACTCAGCAACACAGAATCAGAGCAAAGCAAATCAGCAAAACCGCAACTGAAAAACTGACTTGACCAAACGCAAACAGCATCATAGCAATCTGAACCATAGCAGAACAGTCCCACGGTCACAGAAACACAAACTGCACCAGAGCAAAGACACCAACACAGTAGCCACCACATCAGAACCAAGCTCAGGAACGCAGAACAGCTACACAACAGGCCAGCAGAAAGACAGACCATAGAAAACCAGCAGGGACAGGAACAGTCAAACAACCCCAGCACACTTACTAGCTCAGCATCACAGTAGAACACAGCCTGCAGTAGCACATAATAGACAAAACAAGAGCTAGAGAAATAGCAACTCAACCAAGCAGATAGAAAAGACAGACTCAGGGCATGAATCAAAGCTGAACAAACTCTAGAACACACGCCAAATCCAGAATTCAGCAAGGCACACAGAGAAGAAACAGACAGAAAACCAGGCCAGCAAGAAAAACAAGTGCAGAAGAACAAGAGCATGAATCAGGCCTTCCCTTTCCTATTTTACCTCCTGAATCTGTTGACGACATAGATAGGGAAGAACCCACAAACACCCCCTCCGACAATTTTCCTCCACATATCTGCAGGGATAGTAATATATTGTCACAATAACCACCTCGATGTCTAATTTATGCCTAAAAATTAATTCAATAAAGTATAACTTTGAATCCTAACTTTACCGTAACAGTTATGCCACACAAAAACATGAACACGATAATTTGAAGCATCCCACCGAGAGCAGATACATGCCCTACTGCTCTGAGCTGCACCAAATTACAGTTAATACAGCTTCTACCATAAAATATGAATACATTTATGGTTTTGATTTATTTATGTTCATTTGCTCAAAATGAACACATATAGTTAATGTAATGAAACTCTCCATCAAAAAGTCAAATTAACAGCAACAGCAAGAACACAGATAAAGATATAATCAGGGGGGAAAAAAAAAAAACAAATCTTGCCTTGGTCATGGAAAATTCCAATCCTAAAGCAAATAGAAGGAACACAACACCAAATTGTGCAACAGTTTCAACCTATGCAGAAGAAAACATGTAAGAAAAATACAGAACGATTAGATGGCTGAAGAAACAAGTTCCCAAAATTTGGTAAATCTAAACACATGAAAAAAGAGAAATTATCAATGGGAATGGATTAAAAGCTACACACAAAAAACATTCATCTATACAAGTCTCTCTTCTCAAAAGGTCACACTTTACGGTTCAAATTTCAATACACAAGTCATAGTAACAAATGTTGATACAATACTGTAATAGACTGGCTTTAGGAGGGGTAATTTGGGAAGTTTACTATTAAATCAGAATTATAAACCTAGAAAATCAGTCCATTACAAATAACCCTTCTCTCTCTCTCTCTTTCTCTCTCTCTCTCTCTCTTCTATCACACACACACAATACAAAAAAAGAAATGTTCTATGTTCACTGTTGTACAATAAACTACATATTTCCTTCTCTACATGCTGTCTTTAAAATACTTCTGTGGATTAAGACCTTGACGTAAAATATGATATTGAGGCGACCACAAAATCTGAGGAAGAGCACAAAAAACTAAATATTCGTAAATCATACGAACAAATACTCACGACAAGTTATAAGCAGAGCATGTCATAGAATTTCTAATATATTTATAAAGAAACAAGGCAGTCTAACTTCACCTGAACCATTTCACTGATACAATTAGACCTCCTGGCCCAATCATTGATCCCGCAAGGAGGTAGCCAACAATAACCTGCATTTCAGTTATAAGAGCCAAAAATATTGACAATACTACTCAGACAGCCATGAATTAGAGGTACACCACTTTAAACAGCTCTATCACCACTTGGTTCCCATAGAGAAAGGACAGAACAACATATTTGCTATTTCAAATAACATCGCAGGAACTATATATTCTCACTCTTACATCATTTTATCAGCAATGCATTAAGTAAATAAAAAATCCATCCAAGTATAATCTAAGAAAAAAGATCAACTATCCCAGCTAAGCACATATAGCTATTTGTCACAGCTCACCAAGGCAAAATACAGTACCAGTACCGCAATACTATTTTACCACTCCATTCGCATTACATGTATCCTTAATGTACAAATAGATCCACCACCAGACCAAAGTAATCTAGAGAGAGAAAATTAAAATAAAAATAAACTAGAGAGAGAAAGCAAATCAAGTGGACAAACCAAGTAAAAATCAGTGATAACAAAAGCAAGTACATTTCCTCTCTGACATCTTCGATTCTAGACTTGAATCCTTGCAAGTACATAGTAATAAAAGATCAATGAAATATATGGGATTGATCACCAATCACGGTAGCAAAGCCGAGGGCCAATCCAATGGTTGAGTAGGCAATTGACATGATGGCAGCCAAGATAGAAAGCCATTTCATGTTGTGAAAATCAGGTATCTGAGAGATTATGATCTGAACACATCCAAACAGCAGCATGTAAATGCCATCTCCATAAGAACAAGATGCTTGGTGCCCTTCTTTATCGTAGCAGTTTGATTTTTGAATAGATCTGTATCATTGGATTTTATTCAAGTGGATCAGAGACTCGGAAGAGGATAGACTAGCTTGCTTAATTAGACTGATTTTTTTAAAAAAAATAAATAAAAGAAAAAGAAAAAATATGGACCATTCTGTACCAATGAACTAACAATTAAGTTAATAAATATAAAACATTCTCCGTGGAGATGGCATTTACATGCTGTTGTTTAACCTCAAATAGATTGCAATCTCTGAGCTACAAGTCATTTGCTACTGCACAATCTTCTCTCTTAGAAATTACTTTCTTTCACCCAATAACCCAAGACTATGTCAAGCATAGGATCTACTGAAAGTAATAAGTTAAATACCCCACAACTAGTTCATACATTTGAACAACACTTTTGAAAAAATCAAACAAAGCGAAATAATATCTAAACATTAATCTCACCTTATGATGTTGAGTAAGATATCGAACAGTGTCACGAACACCAGAAGATATAAGATTCGAGGTAAAACCTAAAAACACTTTGCACCCCACAGATTCCCTGTAAACAGGATCCCTCTCTTCCTTGATGCAATCTTCATCGGGTATCTCATTTGCTAGCCGCCAATCTAGCTTGAACCACACAAAATACACAAATGAACACAAAATGAAAACGAGCAAAACAACACCTAAAATTAATAAACAGCTTAAAACTCAAACTAACTATTTGATTTACAACATCGATAGCATCACCAAGATTAGATGCTTGGAAACCGGTTGAGACGAACGATTTCAAAAGCTTGGGATAGTTCACTCATTGATTAAAATCATAACCCTCAATCTTAATACATTTCCCTTCAAGGGTTTCTGATTCCTTGAACACCACAGAACGAACCGACACCATTATATCATTATTATCCATATCTCAACACCTAGTACAGTTTATTACCACAATTAAAATTAATGAATTGCTTCTCAATTTCTCACTACATAATCATTACAAAATTTTTACAAAAACCCAATTTAAAAGCTAAATGAACCATATGAAATGAATTGGTCAGAGAATCTCAAAAGCACAGAATACTTTAGATTAATAACTGAGGAATAAAAAATCCCAAAAAAACAAGAAAAGAGAAAAAGAGTATTTGTAGAAAAAGCAATGCAATTAACAATGGTGCAGGGTAACTAAGAAAGAGCAGAACTTTAAAGAAAGAAAGAACACGGAGAAGGAGTGCATTACCTTGCCGCAGAAACCCTAACCTCCAATATTGTAGAAAGAGAGAAGGAGATCGAAAGAGAGAAGAAAGGAAAGGGAAAGTGTAATCCCCCATATTTTCCTTAGTAAATAATAATTATATTTTTATATATACAAATATTTTATAATAATTCTATACTTGTTTGAATAATTTTTCTTTTAGAAAGATTTGACAAAAATAAAAACAAGAAAATCATAAACCGATATTTCCATTTTAACTAAGTAAATTACCCCTTTATTTCTCCTCATTCACATTTTAATTAAGGAAACTTGCTCCTCATTTCCCCTCTCAAAACCTCCTATAAACTTCTACTGCTTTCCCTTGCCTTCCCCTTCACTCACGACACTCAGACCAAAAAAATAAAAATAAAAATTCGCTGCTTCCTCCCGCCGCTGTTGCTGCCTCCCCTGCGCCGCTGCTGCCTCCCCTGAAACCCACCACCGCCGACCTCGCTGCAGCCCCGTACCACCACAACCGGTTCCTTTCATCTCCCTTCTCATCTATCTTCCTCTCTTTTCTTGTTTAAATTCTTCAAAGCTTTAATCTTTACATGAATTTTTCGTTGATTAACAATTATTGTAGTTTGATTATGTTTTTGAGTTGTGAAAGATTGCAAATTTATCGAGTTTATGATATGTTAAGCATATAATTAATTTTCAGATTTCATAATTTGTGAAATTAGGGTTTAAAACTTGATTTTCATGGTTTTAGGGCTTAAAAACGTGTTGCTAAAGTTATTTAATTTGAGCATGATTTTGTTGTGATTTTGCTATGACTATGATGATGTTTAATTTAAGAGCAAGTTCTTAATTTTTCGTAACTAATTTTTGAATTTCCGTTCGTAAAATTACTTAATCACGTTTTAATCGCATTTTGACTGTAACTCATCTGATTTTAGCAAAAAATAGTATTTTTCGTGTGTAAATGATGTTCTTATCAAAACTTACTACCTATGGTAGTAAGCACCACCCTCTCGTGGCCAAATTCAGCTTTTAAGTATGATTTTCGTGCAGTTTTTGATTTTTATCGAAGGTTTAATTGAGTTTTTATGAAACTAATTAAATTATAATTATATATTTCAAGTTTATATTGTTGTAGTCTTATATTCTACTATTAAACTAAAATTTCAGATTTTAATCTTAACTTTAAATAGCTTTAAGTCATGGTTTTATGATGGGTTTTCAAGTTCTCAAGATACTAACGTACTATATAATGATGATTTCGAATGAAAATGTTTATGCGGTTGTTTTATAACTTTAAACTAATTCTTCATATTATAATTACACTTTAGAGTTGCTGAAATTTCATGCTACAAGCCATATTTTCATGATTTTAATATACAAGCTTGTAATTAAACTTTGAATTACTAGCTTTGGCTATTGTGAGCAACTTAAAGACATTATTTCAATGATTTAAGCGATTTAAAAATAGTTTAGTATTGTTGTAATATATGTTGCTTGGGTATTAATTGAGCTGTTGTTGTTCTGTCTAGGAGAGGACTTCGTAGAGGGTGACTTCTAACCTTAAAGTGGCCAATCAATTTGTGTACTCAAGGTACGTACAAGTATTTGAAGAACCTTGACTTTAGAAGCATGTTTAAGGACTTGGAAAAGACCTAGAATCATGTTAGGAGACTTGTGGATTGCTTGAAATTGTTTGGTAATAAGTTGATTGTTGATAAATGTGATGATTGCTTTAATTCATGTATGAGAAATTGCATTGATGTTTCCTATTCAGCATTATTTATGCAATATCTTGCAAGAGAGCTTAGAAGCAAAGCTACAAGTATATATATATGGAATGAATCGTTTTAACTACTTCTGCAATTGTATTGAATTGGAATGAGTAAAGAAAGAGTTAAAGTCTGATAAGACAGGATTGTGGATTTGAGGTGCCTTATGCACTTAAGGTGTTTATACACCGAGGTAGTTAAAGGATGAAATAATACATGTTGTTTGTCACTAATAAATTAAGAATTGAATTGGAAACTTGAATGATTTGTATGATTGGTTGTGTTGATTGCATGTGAGTCATCACCTAATCTAAACTGGTAAATCACGTAAAGTGCAAGAAGGATGAGCAATAAAACTCTGGATTTGTGCACATCTAGAGTAATGACAAACATGGGTTGGGGTTCACGGGGTATTAGCCGTGTACTTTTCAAAGGCCATCTGATCTACGAGTCTCTTGTTTAAATTCTTTTAAAAATTATAATGAGTTAGATGAGATCTCATACTAGCTATGGCCAAGGAGTCGCGCCCGTCTACCATTGGATGTTTATTAATGTGTTCCGAAAGGAGGCATAGGGTTTTCTTATTTAATGTTCCGGAATGGAGCACAGGGGGATAACTCGGTCTATTGCTTAATCCAATCAATTAATGAATTGATCAATGCTATTTAAATAAAAACTTAGAAATGAGTAACTATGGAGTCATGTGTTCGAGTCAATGATAATATTGTGAGTGTATGGAATGCTTGTTAGTATCATGCTAGAACTCTTTACTATATTTCGTAACTTGTATGTACTCAGCGTTGCTGATTGCGTGCTTTTGTGTGTTTTTCTTTGGTCATGGCCTTCGCCTTCAATGACCCTGTAATGATCCAATTATTACACTTGTGATATTGGGGAGCAGATTCATCACAGGTTTTTGCATAAACTGTCTTGCATCAGGGTGATGGGATTTGAGTGGAGAGTTGGTTAACCAGTTAGCTTATTTCAAAACACAGATTGAATTTCATTTTGGTGTTGGTTCCATTACTTCCTATTTTATTGGATTTTGAATAAGGGTCGTTATGGTTCCAACTTGTAAGACTGAGTTTTGACTTCCAGTTTTGAAACTTATATTCTTTTTAAAACTAAGTTAGTTTTCCGCTGCTGATTTCTGAAACTAGCCTTAACGTTTGAACACGTGGCGGTAGCACTCCAATAATTCTCTTACAGGTTATTCAGGTTTCACAGGTTGTCACAGGTTTTTACAGGTTTTCTTTTAGAGAGAATTATTGGGGTGTTACAGAAAGTGGCAGTTATGGAGAAGGAGATCGAAGGAGAGAGACGGAGTGTTAGGAAAGTGTTGAGAAAAAGCTCCGAAGTCCCTTCAATGGAAAAATTCGAGTACGCTACAATGGAGGAGAGAGAGAGGCACATCAGATGAGAAGAGGAAAAGAGCAAGGAAATGATGAAGAAGAAGACGCGCGTTATAAACCGGGCTTTTTTTTTTAATGGCACCGGTTCAAACCGGTGCTAATTACTAAAGTTGGCACCGGTTTAAGGCGAACCGGTGCCAACTCTATTGCTTTCTTTGTTTTGTTTTTTTTTTTTTTTTTTTTTTTTTTTTTTTTTTTTTAAGGTTGGCACCGGTTTGAACCGGTGCTAATTAAATGAGTTGGCACCGGTTTTGGTTAGAACCGGTGCCAACTCCCTATTTTCCAATCCCGCCCATTTCTTTTGGCACCGGTTTCCAAGAACCGGTGCTAAGGGGGGGTGCCTATTTGATTTTTTCTACTAGTGTCTTGTAGAAGTTTCTTGATGCGTTTGACTTTAATATGGCCAAGACGACAATGCCAGAAGTAGGTTTGATTCGACTCGATGGTCTTAGCCCTTTTGGCGGTATCATTAATGTTATAAACTTGTTTGTCAAGAGAAAGCACATAAAGACCATTTTCTGAATATGCCTTACCATATAAAACATTATCGAAATAAAATGAACAGCTATTGTTCTTAATTCGAAATTCAAATCCCTTGGCGTCCAACGCCGAAATTGAAATAATGTTTTTGGTAACTCTAGGAACATGATAGCAATTGTCAAGTTCTAAAATAAGCCCAGAGGGCAAAGACAAACTGAGAGTTCCAACGGAGAAGACAGACATCTTTGCTCCATTGCCGACCCGAAGCTCGACCTCTCCCTTCTCTAGCCTCCTATTTATCCTTAGACCCTGAGCATTGGAACAAAGCTGTGAGCCACATCCGGTATCTAATACCCATGATGTTTTGCTAGCGAAGTTTAAGTCTATAAAAAAAATACCTGATGAAAAGCAACGGTGCCGTTCTTCTTATCTTCCTTGAATTTGAGGCAGTCCTTCCAATGCCCCTTCTTCTTGTAGTAGAAATATTTGGAATCGGATTTGGAAGAGGCTACCTTCTTGTCCTTGCTGCTCTTAGCAGAGTTTGACTTAGGCGGAAAATTCTTCTTTTTCCCTTTTAAGCTCTTCTTCTAGCCCGAACGCTTAAATGGCTTGCTCTTTCTGACCATGAGCATATCATGCTTTCCCTCATCCTTGAGGGTTTTCTCGGCTTGCTTCAACATACCATAAAGCTCGGTGAGAGTTTTCTCCATGTTGTGCATATTATAGTTCATTTTGAACTGGTCGTAGCCTTTGTGCAGCGAGTGGAGAATGATGTCAATTGCCATCTCGGTTGAATACCCAGCATCGAGCCTTTCCATTTTCTCAAACAATCCAATCATTTTAAGAACATGCGGGCTCACCGGCTCTCCTTTCTTGAGCTTGCTCTCAAAGATTTGCCTGTGGGTTTTGAACCTTTCGGTTCGGGCCTGCTCTTGAAACATATTCTGAAGCTCAGAAATGATCTCAAAAGCCGTCTCCTTTTCAAAGAAAGTCTTTTGAAGGTCCGGAGACATGGTGGCCAACATGATGCATTTGACATCCCGATTGGCACTTTGCCATCAGTTAAGGGAAGCCTGAGTGACCTCCTCATTGGGAGTGTCGGGCATTTCCTCATCAAGGACGTATTCCTTTTGCTCTTGCATGAGAACAATACGCAAATTTCTTTGCCAATTAAGAAAATTTGGCCCACTCAACTTCTCCTTGTCGAGAATTGAGCGTAATGAAAACTGGTTGTTTGAGTTACTTGCAGACATGGTTCTACAATTGAAAGAATTTGAAATGAAAAACCATTCATAAACCAATAAGTTTGAAATTTAAAAGCGTTCATGCAAATTTTCAATCTTATTGAGCATTTTATCCACGCATTAATAATTTGTCCCTTTTGGCGAGAATAAAATGATTCTAAGATCTCAAAAATCAGAAAGTGATTAAGCATGCTTTGCCTTGTCTTAACACTTAATATTTTAGGGTAAGAAATCCAATTGCTAATATCTCTAAGCTACTCTCGGTTTGATAAAACGTCCACTAGTAGAAAAAATTAAATAGGCACCCCCCCTATAGCACCAGTTCTTAAAAACCGGTGCCAAATAAAACGGACGGGACCAAAAAAATTTAGAGTTGGCATCGGTTCTAACCCAAACCAGTGCCAAACATGCAATTAGCACCGGTTCAAACCGGTGGCAACTTGTAAAATTAAAAAAAAAAGGATGGGGAAGGAGTTGGCACCGGTTCTTCTTAAACCGGTGGCAATTAAGGTAGTTAGCACCGGTTCAAACCGGTGCCATTTAAAAAAATAAAACGCGGGTTTTGCTGGGTTTGCTGCTTCAACTTGGTTCAATTCAACGACACTTTCTTCATTCCTCATTTTGGCTTCAAAAATTCCCAGACATTTTCGCCCTATTCTCTTCTCCCTCCATCTCCATTGAAAGGTTGTGCAAGCTTTCTCCTCTCCATTGAAGCAGTTAAGCTAAGCGACCTTACTCACATCTTTTATTCAATTCAATCCAATTTTCTACATTCCCTCTTCCCAAACCCTTCCTCCATTGAAGCTTTTGCCTCCTCACGCACGCAGCCTTTCTGGGCTTTGTTCTGCCTCCGCACGCACGCACTCACTCAGTTCTTCTCTTCTGCCTCCCTCCATGCATTATTGAAGCAGCTTCGACCTAGGTAAGTAATAACGCTCCTCCATTCACTTAGCTTCTCCATGTATTGCATTAAAACCATTGTTGGGTTTTATGAGGAATTGGTCTTTAGTTTAATATTTGTAAGTTTCTTGTAATTGCTAGGGTTTGTCAACTGCTACTTAACTACTCCATTTAACGCGCAAGGCTCCCCCTCCATTAAACGCACAAGGCTGCCCCTCCACAAATGTAAGTCCTTTGTAGTTGTTATTGTTGCTGTTTATAAGCTGAGAATTCTATTTAGTACAAGCTGCATTTATCTATAATTCTAAATTGTTATGAGAACTTTATTTATCATCACTAATAAAGTTGAGAATTTTATTTTGTTTATAGGATAAGTTAGTATTTTTTATTTTAGAGAACAAAGTTGAGAGGAAGCTAATAATAGTAGTTCATTTATATTAGTAGCTCATCAAATTCTACTAAAAAGAGTATCAAATGAGATAAGTAAGCATTAGATAATTGAGTAAAGCATATGAGAGGAATAGCCAAAGCACACACAAAATAGGTAGGCAGAGAGTTTATAATACAAGGATCTGTTGCTGAATTCTTACGCATAAGAGTAGCAAGCAAAAAAGGCATATTTTCGAGGCCGGTGCCAATTTTTTGAGGATTTGGCATCCCTCTAATCCCCAATGGTTATCTCTGTATAATCATATAGTATTTGGAAAAATAAAGGAACGTTTTTTTTATAGGTTACATAATTGATTTTGGATTGATTAGAATTCCTTTATCTTATGAGTTTGATTGTTGAACATTTTTCTTCCTTCATTTAACTTCCCTTGAATATACTTTTCTTTATGAGTTGCTTCTCACTATATATGGGTTTCAGGCTAAGAAATGGGTTTCAAGGGCTTCTAGGGTAAGATCATCAGTTTGGAGAGTGGGCGGAAAGCATCCTGGTATCTTACTCTGACTATCCTTGTTCTTGCTCACTAATATCATTCTTATCTTTTCCCTTAATTTGGTTTTCTATTTTTATTCTATATAGGATATATTGAAAAAGATTCAGAGGAATATCTGGGCGAAGCATTGACCTTGGCATTGACCTTCTATTTGAGAGTGTTGAGACTTTATAGGTACTCAGGTATATATATAACTTTATGTGCTATATATAAGTTCTTGTTTGCACACTTTTGTGGAGATGGTGTATGATATAACTTTAGTGCAACTTCTATCATGATGTGTGATTAATCCATTGTTTTTTAATTAATTGCATGTATCATCATATGCCTAGATACCCGTTCAAGGCTTTCTCATTAGGAGAAAGTCTTGAATAGTCCCCGGTTGGGACTGTTCTTGAACGTTTACTCTCACTTAGGCGGTGAATGTATGTCCTTTTTTTCAATTTTAAGGAACATCTTGGCTTACCATTTCCTCGATCACCATGTTCTCTGGGTACATATGTGGGTAAGTAATTACCTACGTCGTGTACTTGGAGAACTGGGGAGAAATGCTGCCGGATTTTCCTTAAAATTGGAAAGTCGACATACATTCACTAGTGAGAGTAAACGTTCAAGGATGGGTTAGGTTTGAGTGATAAGGGCCCTTTGGAAGCATATATGCATTTTTGTATCTATATGAATGTTATATGCATGTTGTGTGTTTGAATTTGATTTACATATATAATAGATGGTAGCAATTATACATGATTCGTAATATGTTTCCATGTTTGGAGACAATTTACTTAATGGAGAAGGATCGTGGCTGGATGTATGGTAAACGTGATACATTGGAATTCTTTAATGGGGTTCAAGAGTTTTGCGAGAGGGCTTCATCTTATCAGCGCAGAATGGGTTTCGATTGCCTCTATTGTCCTTGTGTTGATTGTAATAATGTGAAGGTGGTCAATAGTGTTGATATCATTAGAGATCATGTAGTTTGTCGTGGGTTTAGGCTTAAATACCATGTGTGGATTTGGCTCGGTGAAGAAGGAAAGTACAGTGGGGATGTTATTGGGAATGATGTGCATGATGATAGAAGCAATGACATTTGTGTGGACGAGGAGTACAAGAATAATGATGAACATATTGTTGATCATGGTGCTGAGGATGGATTTGAGGATGATCATGTGGATGAGGTCGAGGATGAAGGGATGGATGAGATGATGCGTGGTTTTGAAGGTGACGTGGAGGCTTCTAAAAAGACTTTGTATCCTAGGTGCAAAAAATACTCCAAACTATCAGCCGTGCTAACACTTTTTAACATTAAGTCGAAGCATGGGTGGACGGAGAGTAGTTTTACTTATTTGTTGACCGCGTTAAGTGAGATGTTGTCCGACGGGAATGAAATTCCTAAGTCTTACTATTACGCAAAGAAGCTCATGTGTCCATTTGGTTTGGAGTATAAGAATATACATGCATGTCCTAAGGATTGTATTCTTTATCGAAATGAATATGAAAAATTGGAGGAGTGTCCACGATGTAAGAAGTCGCG